ATATATACATCCTATGAAAAAAGGCAAGACTTGGGAAAAAAAAGGATGACGGAAACCACTGTCGTCAGTCATCAGTCAACATTTTGTGCAGTAGATGCTACGTGCTAGGCTAGCTCCTAAGTGTGAGAACTAGCTGATAGCAGTTAGCATCGAGCAGCCCTGATCTCAGCCCTGAGTCACAGGAGAGGAGGAGGTGAGAAAAGACTTTGTCGTCATCCTTCAGAGGCAAACATTCACTGCTATAGGCCACACTACTTCCGGAGTGTTAGCTGCTAGCAGTTAGCACTGAGTGGTCATGAGAGTCCGTATGAGTCAGATTCCCAAACTCTGGTCCTGAGTCACACTCCGACCAATATTTACAAAGGGTGGAGAGTTGTTTAGCTGGATGCTAACTTCCTGTTTCTACTGAGGAATGAAATGTGAGTCATTTGTGGAGCGTTGCCAGATGAGCAAGCCCAGCTAACATTCCCAAACACGCCCCAAGATTCCAGTTACTGTTGAGGAGCCAAACAACAACAACACGCTGGCTGTCCTCAGGTGAAGACAGAATAGTTGTGGTAGCCCACACTGTTTTGCTTGAACAAAAACATTGAGGAGAACCCAAAAGAGCTCCATTATTGTGAGGGAGAGACACGAACAATAAGCTACAACACTTCAACAAGAGTCAACAATCTCAGCATGACCCTTTCCTCAAGCGTTTCACACCTGTGTGACTGCTCACTGTGTGAATTCCAATTATCGCCTGTGCAAAGCTTTTAGGATGGATTATTACATTACTCCCTCGGGAAAAAAAAATTGTTCTGTTCCATCCATCCATCCATCCATCTTCTTCCGCTTATGCGGAGTCGGGTTGCAGGGGAAGCAGTTAAAGCAGGGAAACCCAGACTTTCTTCTCCCAAGCCATTTCGTCCAGCGCTACCAAGGTTGTTGCTGAGGCCTTTCCAGGCCATCCGAGAGATCAAGTGTCTTTTGGCGTGGCCTGGGTTGGCCTCGTGGTGGGACATGCCAGCAAGACCTCACCAGGGAGGCGTCCAGGAGGCATCTCAACCAGATTCCCGGGCCACCTCATCTGGCTCCCCTCAAGGTGGAAGACCAGTGGCTCTACCCTGAGCCCCTCACCCTCTCTCAAAGGGGGGACGGCGGCACGGGGGTTAAACAATTAATTCAATTCAAATCGACATCGCAGTGCAGTAAAACGCAATTTTCATGTTTACATATCATTGATACATTTCATATGAATTCAAGCTTTGTTAGCCTTTATTTTAACGCAAGCCTAACCTGTAAAACCGTCCGTTATGTATGATTCAGGTATTCAGTGTGATGCAGATTGCTTGTGGTTGTGAAAAGAATCGCATATTAAATCCTTATCGCAATTATGAGGGTGGTGGGGGTGGTGGTGGAAAGAAGAAATTACAATATATTTTTTCAAAACCTCTCAGGCCTACCAGACACCTTTCAGCTCAGCACCTTCTCGGAAGTCTGATCCAAAAGTATTTGTACCCGTGAACTCTCAAAGTGTACGGTTATGCACTTTGGTTTGGAGTCAGCCAGCCCTCCCTTTCCAGCTATTCCAAAATGCTGCTGCTTGCCTCTTAACTGGAACGCAAAAGAGGGAGCACATCACTTCCCCACCGGCGCTCACCTTGTGAACGCTCTTGGGGTTCTCCAGCCAGGCGAAGTACATCTCCTCTACGTAGTTGGAACTAGTCCCGTTCAGAAAGGGCTCAGAAGCCACGGGCGCCGTGTAGCTCCTGAATTGCCCCAACGTCCTTGCGCCCGAGGGGACCGGGCCTGTGACTGGCCGCTGCGGGCCTACAGTCTGAGCCGCCTGCGAGGCGGTGAGCGGACGCAAACGCGCCGCACAAGTCCTTAAGCGATGCATTAGTGGTGTAGTCCTCCTTAAGCTCACGCGCACGTGGCGGCAAGCGAAGCAACGCTGAGAATGATAAAGATGGCGCTCAATCCGAAGGAAATTTTCTTTTTACAAAATCAAGGCGTCCTCAAGGTCACGGCAGTACCGGTGGACAGCAATTTCCACAGGTGCCTTCCTCCAATCAGATCCTGGGATGAAATGCACAACATATGAGAAATAAAAGCATTAAAAAGAAGATTTTCACTTTTTAATACCAATTTGATTCTAGAAAAAAAATCATTTAAAACAAGGTTTCTTTGGGTTTCCTTGTGGGATTTCCTTTGTTCCTCCTAATACCAAATAAGCTTTGAAACTTTTTTTTCCCCTCCCCAGGATAGAATTCCACAGAAAACAGAAATACACTGTTTTCTTCTTTTCTTTTAGTGACATGAAAATAAGTGCTTTGTCTTGTATAAATTTACACATCATACTTCATAATTTTTTTGAACTTATAAAGTCACCTATCAACTATGATTGCCTTCCACCGGGCTCGTTTCCTGTCACACAAAATTATTCTGCTCTTTAGTTCTACCCTTTGGTGGGAATTCAAGTCGTTTTTGTTTGGAGGAGAGAAAAAAAGTCGCTCGAGGGCTTTAGACATGACACTAAATATAGCAAACAAATGCCTAAGTTGTCAACACTCTGTCTCCTGTTTTTTTTTTTTTTTTGCTCCATGTAGAGGATTTCGTAAACAGCGGTGGTTGTTTTCAAGTGCTCTATAAGTACAGTTGAGGAAATTAAGACCTCTTTTGGAGACTGAATGCTGTGACAGCAGTCCTGGAACCTTTCTCACACTTCTCGCCCAAAATGTTTTCGATTTGAAAAGAAGGTAACTTTGAAATCGACCAGCAGACGAAAAGAAGCCGAACAAGATTTTGACCTTGTTCGCTCTCTCGCCTCCTCCGTGCCTCATCTAGGTCCGCCCACCGGCAACCTCTCCATTCCTGATTGGCGGTCGTGTTGGAATCCCGCCTAAAAATAGACTAGGCTGATTTTCTAATGAGCGAGGCCCCTGTCAATCATCGCGTCCTCTTCTCCAAATCGTCAATCTCAGGCAGCCTTCTTTTTCCGTCTTCCTTGCAAAAACAATGTTCAACACCCAGCAAGAGTGACATAAACGGTCAAAGCGAACTAATAAATAACACATTCACACTGTCGCGTAGAAACACTTGGATGGCTTCGTGACTAGCATTAGAGCTACTTGCTTGTAGAATTAGCTTGCTAGCTCCTACTTTCAATTTCGTTCTTCGTTGTTGTTGTTTGGGGGCGATACGGTGCGAGCAGGATTACCAAAATGCCCCCAATCCAAAGTTAAGTTGGCACAAAATCACGCTCGTTGGCGAGCATTGGAAGCACTAAAAGTCACGTTTCAGTTCCGCCTCAAGGTTGCTCAACTCCGTCAACTGCGCGCTAGCTAACGGGCTAGCATGTCAGCTAACAAGAAGTGAGCGGGGGGGATGTCGGAATCAAATTCCGGAGACCGCCGGCATTTTTTGATTTAGCTTGTACAATGACACCCGGAAGCGAGTTCGCGTCTGTAAAATATTCATCAGCAATCCGCGGGGCGGCTTACTGACCTCCAGAAACGCTGAGGAGCGGCTCGCCTGTCTGCCGGGTGCCCGGACGCCCTTCGACTCTCCCGGCGCATGAATGACAGCTCCAGCAAGGTCCCGCCGAGCCTGGGAGTGAGGCCGAGCAGGAAGTGACGTAACTGACGCGCTGACGCGCGGACCAAGTTTGATCTCAATGTAAATATCAATTAAAATATAGGTTAACACTAAATCATAGTACACATAATATACATTTTTTAAAAAAATTAGTTTACGGCGCTGACGTCACGACGCACAGTGCTGACGACGCATTCCACGGCAGTGGGTACTCGCATTTTATAAAAGGTTTTCATGTTTTTTAAAAGGTTAATACTCTGAACTAATCAATATCCAATACAAAAGTACAATTCTAGAATGGCTAAAGTGGTTTTCATCAAATTAACGGACATCGTTGCAGTCTCTTCATTTGACGTACGGCGTGACGTCACAACATAATGTCTGACGAAGGCGTCAGAAGCGAGTTTTCACATAATTTACGTATGGACATTTCTAAATTGAACCCCGTTATTGAAATTATTTTTGATTGAGGTAGATAATTTTTTAAGCCTTTTGATTTGATCATAAAAATGTACATCAATCAGGGTTAATACTATATAATACTCTAATTATGTAATATGACATAAATGTGAGGAGGGCACTGAAGAGGATGAAGAGTGGAAAGGCACTCGGGCCTGATGATTTGCCAATAGAGGTATGGAAGTGTCTAGGAGAGGTGGCAGTGGCGTTTCTGACTGGGTTGTTCAACAAGATCTTAGATGGTGAGCAGTATGGTTTCATGCCAAAAAAAAAAAACAGTACGACAGATGGTGTATTTGCTTTAAGGATGTTGATCGCTGTGGTGACCCCTGAAGGGAAAAGCCGAAAGGAAAAGAGGAAGAAGTCTATGTACTAATAAACATGAGGCTCTTGATTCAAGTCCAAGCAATCATTCTTTATGAACAAACATTAGTCAGGCATCCCGCGACAGTTACGGACACAAAGTCAAATCATATGATCATTGGATGTCATTTCTAATATTGTAGCACCTGTGATTCCATTGACGAATGAGAAATAAAAGTATTATTTCCAATGACATTTTTGTGGTTTGGGGCAATATTTGAGATAACAGTGTACCAAGCAGGAAAGACTGCTGATGGGAGTTATGAATTTCAACACAATCAAGTCATTTTCATCTCACATAGTCAGGAAGCAGAGAATATATTTTAATGGCTTGAACACACAATGTCAAATTTAATATCTGCCGAGAAGAAAAAAAAGACAACCATGCTTTCTCTCCATCTCTCTCTCTCTCTCTCTCTCTCACACACACACACACACAAATATCGGATTCACTCTGAATCCCTTGAATTAATGAACATAATTATTAAATGGCATCTCCTGTAAGTGGCGAACAATCCGAACACCCCGCAGTGGACAGTTGACGACGATGCTAATGATGTTGACATCCATAGTACACCTCTTTGCTTTTTTTTGTCCTATTTGAGGGGCAGGACAGTTTGGCGGTGTGATGTCATCAGTGTGGCCAGGAAGTTGTTGTCCTCGTGTGTGTTTCGCAGAGCTGATTCAGAGCAACGTCATTGAACCAACCACACCAAACCAGAGAGCACTTTTTGAGACATTCGACATTCCAATGACCATGCAGACGAGTGCCACCACAGGGCACCGGTGCTTCCTGTTAGTTCCGGTTGGTTGCTGGCACGGTCAAACACACCAGTTGTTCCGGCACAGGGTGCGCTGGGAGGAAAGTAAAGTCCACACAGCACACTCTGCAAGTCGCTGTTTGCTTGAGCGCTCGTCTTGTACAAACACATCTCTTGAACAAGCTATTCTGATTTTGGTGCACTAAGGGAGGGATTTTAAAACATCTGAGTCATTTAAAATACAATCAACAAATTCATCGATTATTGAAGTAATCGGTAGTTGCAGTCTTCAGTTTATCAACATTTTTGGCTAGTTTGTGGGTGTGTGTGTGTGTGTGTGTGTGTGTGTGTGTGTGTATGTGTGTGTGTTTTAAACCATTGCATTATGACAAGACAAGCGCTTTCACAAGTTAACAGTGAATGGGCTGGACTGTCACTTACATAGTGCATTTCTACCTCGGGTAATCAAAGCGCCATACACTGTTACCACATTCACCTATTGATGACGCAGCATCACGAGCAATTGGGGGTTCAGCATTTTGCTCAAGGACACTTCAACAAGGTCGCAATGGGTTGGGAGACAACCACTCTACCATTGAGCTATGCCGGCCCCAACAGTGGTGTTTTTCAAAATCAAACTTCTTTGCGAGTGATGATCAAGAAATTATTTTTTGTTCAGTCTATGTACCAGTGGTCTCGTTCCACATTGGGCATCGCGTGTAAACAATTAAACACAAGCAGAAAACAGGCAGACCTCGCCCTCCTGCCATAGTGGTTTTGGTTTTGCTGTCATCAAAGCAGCCAATCAGAGAGAAGCTGCTCTCAGGCATGATTGTTATTAGCCATTAGCCAGAAAGTGTTAATTAGCCAGCATGCTGAACAGCACCGGCAGCATATGAGTGATGCCGCCACTAAATATTCATCACATCTGATTGGATGGTTTCTGACAAGTTCTTTTTTGGTCCAGATCCGCCTGAGACCTGGTTTCTTGCTTCCTGGCCGTCATTCGGCGGGGCTAAGCCTAGAGGAGGCAGTGTGGAATCCTGATACAGAAAGTGCTTATACGGGTGGCGCAGGGGCAGATCTTTGAGGCATCAGAGGTTGAGCTGCGCCAGAGGGTTTGGGCTTTCTGACACACAAAAAGAAAGCAGAGGCCAAATGTAATGCCAAGCGCTATGCTAAGATGTCGGCATTCTGACACAAAAAAAATAAAAAAAACAATACACAGAGGCTAGCTGCTATGATATTAAACAAAGACATACCACAGTTATGGCTTTCCGACTCAAAAAGCAAATGGCTGACATTGTAACTGCTACTAAACACACACATGCTACAGTGTGGGCTTGCTGACATTTAAAAAAAAAAAAAAAAAAGCACAGAGACTAGCTGCTATGCTAAATGCTAAGCTAACCACTGCTAAACACACACGTCCCCCAATTGTGTCTTTCTAACACAAAAAAACAAACCAGGGAGGGTAGCTGAGATACTAACCACTATGTTAAATGCTAAGCTAAGATTTAGGATCTGACACAAAACACTCCACAGGCAGGGTAGTGGCTATACTAACACCTATAATAACAGCTGGTAAATTCACATATGCTACAGGTTTGTTTTCTGACACAAAAAATAATTCCAAGAGGCTATCTGTGATGCCAAATCCAAAAAAAACCCCCCAAAAAACAAAAACTGAGGCTAGCTGAGAAGCCAAGTGCGTAATACACACATGCTATATGTCACATATTTGTGTTGTTGCTTACAAAGGTGGCGGCGGTGGCCTCACAGCGTACGAGGTAGTGCTCCTGCTTGTCTGCACCACCTGAACACACAGTTACACACCCATGTACACAATGTCATGATGAGAGCGGGGGCAGTGTTGACGGGCTTTCGTTTTACCTCGTGTGGCGGCAGAAGCTGACTGTTATGCTGGATGACAAAAAAAAGGAAGAAATTAACACAAGTAGGAAGACATTTTTGGGAACCTCACGACTTGTAATGTATACACAACTATGTGTTACAACACAACTAGTAACATGCTGTTGTAGCAACACTACTAGTAACACATACACCAACAGATCTTTGAAATACAACGAAACACATCCACACCTTTGTAAGAGCACAAGCAACACAGACACGCAACTTTGTCATGACACATAATGAGGCACGCATGCATACAGGTAGACACCTCTGTGTGTACATACCGCGTTTCTGAGGATGTTGTTGGTGTTGCCACGGGCAACAGGAGGCGGCTGAGTCCTGGGAGGCGGTCCTCTGCTGGGATTGCCCGACGGTGCTCCGTCCGGCCTGGCGACAAGGGTGGAGGTTGGGGGATTGGTGGGTTGGCACGTTAGCACCCAAGTCAACACGTCCGAGCCAACTCGAAGGGAGAGCAGACGGACTCAAACGCTTCAGCCGTCTCTCAACCGTGTTATCACAAGCGGTGACGGCTGGAACTTTTCAGCGGCAGTTTTTTTTGTCGAGCAATGAAGACGAGTGGGCTGACTCACCGGTAACCCGGAGAGCGCCCCCTGCGTGTAAGGCCGAAGTACTGCAGCAGCTGCTTCCTGCGCAGAAAGGCGAAGGCAGCCAGCGCGGTCAGAGGAAGTACCAAGAAGAAGAACACGAGAAGACCGTCCCTCAGCGACCGGTCTTTGTCTGTGGAGGACAAACGCGCACACACACACACACACACACACACACACACACACACACACACACACACACACACACACAGATGACAACAAGCACAAGTACTTCACTAGTCCGTAACCAAAAATCGACAGCCAAACTGTACTTAGCGACCTCTTCTGGCTGGGTAGGGGATTGTTGGTGCTATTCTAATGCCTACAGCCCCTAATGTTAGGTACGGTACAACTAAACAACCTCTCTTCAACCGACAACAGAAGCTCTGATGGTCCCAGGAGTTTTAATTAGCAAACATTAGGAGGGTGCGAAGGTAGCGGCTGGGGCTACATACCATTCCAGGTGGGCCCGCTGTCCACGCTCCCCCCATAACCTGGCAACTCACAGAAGGGCGGAGCCCAGCCGTCTTCACAATGACAGTTCCGATTGTTGTTGCATACCTGGCCCACAGGAGGAGACAAAGAAAGAAATCTGGGTTATGTGTGTGTGTGTGTGTGTGTGTGTGTGTGTGTGTGTGTGTGTGTGTGTGTGTGTGTGTGTGTGTGTGTGTGTGTGTGAGAGTGAGCTTCAATAGTGGTGTGCTTCGAAATGCAGGCGCTTTGAGCTTAGGTTATTGTTTTTCACCTTTATTATCTTAGTTTACCACTAGATGGCAGTAGATTCTACACCTTAAAAGTGCTCTCTCAATAAAGTTGAGTGGGGAAAGATGCCCTGAATTCTTTCCAGCCAGCAAGCCCTCCTCAAGAAAACTGATAAAAATGTTTCTTAATAACGGAAAGAGTACTTGAAAGGCTATGCTTTATAAAAACAATTTAGAAATGATGTTAATCAGTTACACCATTTGTGCACTACGATAAAATCAATTGGGCTCCTTCCCGCCACTGAAGGGCAGTATAGCAAGAAGAGTTTCATAACTACTGTCAGTGACGTGGTCAGCTGCACTAATATTAAGAATATGTGCTTGTAGGTATATTTATATGCATGGTTGATGAATCATTCCGTGTTCAAATATTGTTTGTGACGCCGCCGGATGGATGCTATTCATTCGCCGCCTATTATGTGTTAGCATGAAGCTAGGTAGCTGCTGTACTTGTACGTAAGGTGGCTTGAATGTCAAGGTGCCAGCGTGTCCAGTTTCTTACCCCGTGCCCGCGACATTTGCTGTCAGCATCGCAGTCAATGTTGAGGACGTCCGCGCTACGACACTCAAAGTTGAGGCAAACCTGAACGCCGTAGTGGCAGAAAGCAGCAAAGTCAGCGTGGCGTCATCGGCCGCTTCCGGATGTCGCGGGAGTTTACCTTGTCGCGGCCGCACTTGGTGCCCTGGTTGACCATGCCGGGGTCGGGCACGTCCGAGCCCAGCATGAAGTCCACCCCGGAGCAGACGGCGCCCCTTATGGGCGTGCTGATGATGGACGGGTCCATGCCAAAGGCTTTGACGCCTTGGACGTTGGCGCACTGAAGCTTCCCACACAAAGCGTTTCTGTGGGGCAAAACAGATGATGCTCCCTTTTCTGTGTGTGTGTGTGTGTGTGTGTGTGTGTGTGTGTGTGTGTGTGTGTGTGTGTGTGTGTGTGTGTGTGTGCGCGCGTGATAGTCACTTTTACCTGCTCTCACACTTTTTGAATCCATAGTTTTGGTATCCACAGTTCCCAAAGCGATCGCCTTTGCTGTTGACCTCTTTGAAGCAGATCTCTGGTGCCATCTTGGCCTCTGAGGAGCGGCCACACAGACACACACACACACGCACGCGCACGCACATGCAGTCACATCTTGTATCTTTGTCGCTCTTTTTTTTGTGTGTGTGTGTGTGTGACAAAGATACAAGATGTGACTGCATGTGCGCGCACGCGCACGTGTGGCTTTTTCAAGGAGACTCACTGGCTCCAAAGATGCTCCTGCACTGGTCTTCGGCATGCTGACAACGGCCGTCGTAACAATACGCCCCCTGGTTTCGAACCAAATG